TCCAGATTTCGTAATAAAGGGAGGGGGGGTTCATTTCGGGGGGGGTCTCCTCCAGGCTATCTTGGAGGGCCTGGGGGGGTCTGGGGACGATGTTTTGGAGGGTTCTCCCACGGGGGGGGGTCTAAAATTTCTCGTCTGGGAGGGTCGAGACCCCCTCCCTTTTATTACGAAATCTGGAGTATGCACCCCAGGCGAGGCGAAACCATAGGGCGGAATCTTCCGCCTCAGACAAGTAGGCCAGCGATTTCCGTACACGCATTGCAGAAGCAACGACGGCAAAGCAAGGCGAAAGTCGGCATCAAGAAGGCTTGGAAAGTAGGGCAGACAGCTCCGCCCTGCTTGCGAAATCGCCCTGCGGCGGGTCCAGACTCAGGGAGTGGTCCAAAGCTCCGAGGACCCCGCATGGAACCACTCAAGACGTCGGAAGTCTGGGGACCTCCATCATGGAGGCCGAGCCTTGGAGGCCTGGAAACTGGCGCCAACACCAACACAGGGGGGCTGCCTCCACGGGGGGAAGATGATCCTAGATTCCGGTGTTGGTGGTAATACTTCGGTCACCTTGGAAGCCAGAATATTGCCACCACCACCGAGATCGGGATCTTCTTCCCTCGGCGGAGGCACACCGCCGATATTGGTGCTGGTGTCAGCTTCTAGGCCCGCGAGAGCCCCTCCGCGCGTGGGAAAACAGGCGCCCAGGACGGGTGCAAAACGTACAGACTGGAGGTCGGACCCTCGCCCCCGGAGACCCGGATCCGCCCTACTTTGGGGAAATTCGTAAGTGGGGCTTGGAATTTCCGCCTTACTTTTCAAGCCCCGCTGATGCCAATTTCCGCCCTACTTTTCTGTTGCTGTTTCTGTGGATTTCCGCCCTATTTTATGCTGGGTGCAGCAATTTCCGCCCTACTTTTTCGGCCTATTCTAGGTGGATTTCCGACGCAATTTTCAGTTGGAAAAAAAGCCAAAGTAGGGCGGATCCGGAGTCAGGGCGGGCGCTGCGTTGTTTTCACACCGGGGGCTCTCGCCCGGTCTCGGGCCGCGGGCCATCACAGCTCGATCCGGCTCGAAGAGCGCCGCAGAAAGACGGGGTCCGAGGCTCTGGTCGTGGTTTTTCGCAGTGCCGTATTCTTGCTCGCGGCGTCACAACCCAAGGCTCAGGAGGAGCCATGATCGAAGGATTGCACAAAAACCGAAGGATTGCAAAAAAACCAAGAATTGCAACAAAAAAAAAACCCTTCAACGAAGGATTGCAAAAAAAAAAAAAACGAACGTAGGATTGCAAAAAAACCCGAACGTAGGGTTTTTTTGCAATCCTTCGTCCCAGGGGCCGAACGCAAACATGCTCGTGTCGGGACGACATCACGACGAGAACTTTGTGGCAACCTGTCGGCCTCTGGGGGCCCCCTGCCAGGCCTCGGGGCCGTCTAGAACGAGGCGGGATGGAGAACCGGCCCTGGGGAGGAGGAGGAGGAGGAGGAGGAGGAGGAGGAGGAGGAGGAGGAGGAGGAGGAGGAGGAGGAGGAGGAGGAGGAGGAGGGAGGAGGGAGGAGGGAGGAGGGAGGAGGGAGGAGGGAGGAGGGAGGAGGGAGGAGGGAGGAGGGGAGGCGAGCGAGGAGAGGGAATGGGGGAGAGAGGGCGGGGCCAGGGGCCCAGGGCGCACTCGGAGCGAAGGGCCAGCCCCCAGGGAGGGGGGCTCGGACCTCTGGGAGACCGGTCGGAACTTCCGGGAACCGCGCATAGAAAACATCAAGACGTCGCATGCCGGAGAACCTCCACTTTTTGGAAGCAAAAAAGCAATCTAAACGAGCGCACAGGAGGGCGACCCCTCATTTTGAGTGCTCTTGACCCTCTCGGGGGCGCCCCCCCCCGAATCTCGTAAACGTTGAGGGGCCTGCTCTCTGGGGGGCGCCCTTGCAATTCTGAAGTCTTCTCGGCGGACCCCCGCGTGACGAAACGCTCCGCGTTACGAAGGGGTGGTGGGCGAGCTGGGAATCTGGCTTCGGAGGCACGTTTTCGAAGTGGGATCCTGGCGCTCACCCTCCCGACGCAAGGCGGGGCTGCAGAGACGCAGCCTTGCCCACGAGTCTGGTAGGGCTGACAGTTCCTCCCTACCTTTCCCTACTGATCAAACTCCTTTGATGCTACTTTCCGCTCTACCTCGCCGGCGCTGCCTCCACCGCACTCTTGCGGAAATCGCTGCCCTGCTCGTCTGAGGCGGGAATGTCCGCCCTACTGTCTCGCATCGTTTGGGGGGCGTGTCCGACACACTTTCAATAGGAGAACCAGCCAGAAAGTATGGCAGACCCGGGGTCAGGGTGCGCAGGCCCCAGAAAACTAACTCCTTACAGCCTGGATCCCTGTGGGTCGTAGTCGGCGGTGGACAAACCTCCCTGTAGTAAACCTCCCCTTAGTGAAAACGGCCTGGGACCGAAACCGACGGACCTGGACCCGCAAAAATGACGGCCGCGACGCCCCCTCGCGAACCGAAAACGGCCAATTCCTTAATCGACGTGTCAGGGTAGGAGGTCTGTCCACCTCCGACGTAGGGCGCCGCCTCTCCCGCCCTTGATGGGGCGGGCACGACGACCTGCGCCCGCCGCTTCCTGATGGCCCCGGGCCACGGTTTCGAGGGGGCGGACGTGGCTGTGTGCCAGGAGGCCCCACTGCCCTCGCCGAGAAAACATAGGTGTCGGAAACAATCAAGCAACACTCACGCGTAACATATGGTTTGACCCCCCGCCTCCCCCCGAATGCAATGTTCGTGTTGGATCTTTGGAGTTCGAGTGTCCGAGCGGTCGTGCGTCACCGTGCCAACTTTGCCAGTGTGTCTTAATAATGTCTTCCCTTAACCGCATCACCACGGGAGGTTGTCGGATGTTTTCGGCCTCTGGGGCCCTCACCAGGCCTCGGGACCGTCATCTAAATATCCAGGATGAAAAACCGGTCCTAGGGGAGGGGCCCAAACCTCTGGGGGGTGACATTCAAAACAAATCACGGCGTCAGAGTCTTGTGAAGCTGGATACACGGGTGGCTGGATTCACATGCGGAACATCCAGGAACCACGGGCTGGGCACACATGCAGAAGGCGGGCGTACCTGGCCACAGAAAGGGCCAAAGGCTGGACAAAAACATGCGGACATATGTTTTTTGGTAGCTTGAAGGCCCGATGATGAAAATCGCTAGCCTCCCAACTGATGGGAAGGAATTCCACCGCGCGAAGACAAGCAGAAAAGGACGAGGAGGAGCAGGGGAGAGAGATACATGAGAGAGAGAGAGATAGAGCGAGAGAGACAGAAAGAGAGACATATATAGAAACCATGCAAGAACGAGAAGCCAGATGCCTAATGCGGCCAACCAGCGGCTGGCACGGGACACGAGCTGTACAAGCACAGCCGGATACGCTATGAAATACCCAACGTGTGCTCCGCATGCTGCCCTGGGCGGGCGGAAACCGAGGTTCGCCACGGCCACGCTCCTCAGCCACTCGGTGGGGCACAGCGTGCTATGTGGAGAAGAGCTGGGGATCAACGGTTGATCGAACAGCACTCTCAAGGACGACGGCACGCGCCATCAAACATGCGTGAAGCCCTAGCGCTGTGAGACTTACAATGCACTACCGTGGTGGCGGTGACTGACAATGACATGCTCGTAGAGGAGGCACGAATGACAGGGGAAGAGGGCAAAGAGCGAGGGTATGGGGCATGGAAGAGAACCGACGCGCAGCGCAACGCAACTGGAGGACACAACCTCCAGCGCCACACCGGCTGCTTGGGCGCGGGGGATCGGCCAGCGCGCGGCCCGAGAAAACGATCTGCGTGCAAGGGGCCAGCCATCCTTGGGCGATGAGCTGGCCCAAGTGCCACGGCCCCGCGGCCGCGGAGTGGAGGCACAGGGCGGGTTCCCTGGCAGTCTCCCTCGCAGGGGCGCGAGCGCATCGCCCAGGAAGTGTTTTTTCCATGTGCGTGTGGAAGAGACGTGAGCAGGCCGGAGGACCTCGTGCCACCACATGCAGCTTTGCAGGCAGGCTGGGGGTGGAGCCGCGGAGCTGAGGAGCGATGCGCGGGGCGTTCCAACAGGTGACCCATCGCAGGAGACGTGGAGGAGGAGGAGGAGGAGGAAGAGGAGGAGGAGGAGGAAAGGGGGAGGAGGGGAGGAGGAGGAGGAGGAGGAGGACGAGGCGGAGGAGCAGGATGAGAGAGAGAGAGAGGCGGGGAGGAGGAGGAGGAGGAGGAGGAGGAGGAGGAGGAGGAGGAGGAGGAGGAGGAGGAGGAGTGGCGCGCGCGTATATAATTACTTCGAGCCGCGCCTGGCGTGCCGCAGCAGGGCGCTGCGCGGACTGCAGCCGGGCGGCAGGGCCGCGGCCGCCGGTCCCCTGCCCGTGCCACGCCAGCACTGGCTCGCTCTTCTCGAGTACGGCCGGACCCAGGACAGAAAAACATCCTGCAAGAACGTTAGACCCGCCGCCAGCCAAAACACCCCAAACCATAAGATCACCGAGGGTACCCTCCCCCAGGATGCACAAAAACATCCAACAAACACGAAGAACATTAGGGCACCCTCCCCGAACCGACCTCGACCTTGTGCCTCGGTCCGGCTGTAGATCGAATGCAGGGCGGGTTCCATGGACCAGGGGGCCGCCCCAGCTGTTCACACTCACGTAGGCGCCCGCGCAGACAGAAATAATCCTGGGCGACGAGCTGGCCCAAGTGCCACGGCCCCGCGGCCGCGGAGTGGAGGCACAGGGCGGGTTCCACGGACCAGGGGGCTGCCCCAGCTGTTCACGTGCACGTAGGCGTCCGCGCAAACAAAAATTATCCTGGGCGGCGAGCTGGCCCAACTGCCACGGCCCCGCCACCGCGGAGTGGAGGCATACGGCGGCCCGCGCACCAAGGGGGGCAGCCCACGATCTACAGGAGCTCGTTTCTCCCTTAGAAGAAGAGGGTGCCAGCGAAGACGAGAGATGGGGATGCGACAGGACGGCGACAACAGGGGGTCGAACGAGGACGAGGCGACCGGCGCGACGGCCAAGGGGTGGAAGAGAGAAAAACGACCGACAAGAGAGACAACGGAGGCACGGAGGCCCGACAACTATACGGATAATCTCGTCCAGTGGTTATACGTCGCCTGCCCGGCTGGCATGGCGTCGTTTGGGCTGCAGTGCAAAGGGCAGTGCCAAGCCGAATTCCCAGACGGCGATGATGCGATGGTGTGCGGGCACAACTCTGGTGTGCTAACAGAGCCTGTCGTGAGTATGGCCAACAATGCTATGCACCTCCATCGCGGTAGTCGTGGGACAGTTCCCCGTACTGAGGCAGAGCATATCGACATCAGCATTGACCAAATGCATCAGATCACCGAGGATGAGGTTGTCGTGCTAACCCTCGGGGAGGCCGTCGACCTTGGCTACGTGGACAAGCTTGAGTCCACAGAGTTACTTCAAGATGACGGTGCTCGAGTTGATCCACTCCTGAGCGGAGGGAAAGGCTCGGCGGGTAGATGTGGAGTCAGAACACGACACGGACAGGGAAGACGCGTTGAGGATTTGGCTGCACACCTTACACAAGTGGCGACGGCTGTTGGGCAACTGATGTGCTCGGGTAGGCCGAGTTTGCAGCTGCCTGGGGACATGCCGCTTAATACAAAGCAAGAGGAAGACACATACGACGCATAAGAAAAGAAACTTGGCATAAGAAAAGGAACACGCAATTATGAAGATAATAATAATACGACTACTAATAATACTATTAATAATGTAATTGGTAATAGTAGCTATAATGAGAGGAAGACGAAGATGGTTATCATCATCAGAAGAATAATGATAATACGAATCAAGCGAATAATAAAAATGGGAAGAAGAACTAATGATAACAATGAGAGTAAGGATCGGGAGGAGGAGGAAGAGGAGGAAGAGAAGGAGGAAGAGGAGGCGGCGGCAGAAGAGGAGGCGGTGGGCTCCTCTGCGCGATCTGGACCAGGGCGTCCGACAGCACCCTGGCGGCGTCTGTCGCCATCCCCCGCGCCTGGTCCGCCATGGTTCGGGCGCGCGAGCCGCTGTCCGCGGCCGAGGCCGCCGCACGGGCGGCACCGGCCTCGCTGGGAGGAGGCGGTATCCGATGAGAAGGGGGGAGGAGGAGGAGGAGGAGGAGGAGGAGGAGGAGGAGGAGGAGGAGGAGGAGGAGGAGGAGGAGGAGGAGGAGGAGAAGGAGGAGGAGGAGGAAGAGGAGGAGGAGGAGGAGGATCAGTGTAAGCCCAATACTCATCAACGATGTTGGAATAGACACTCCCTCCGATCTCCCTCTTCATAGGCCCCTACAGGGGTTCATTTTCACTGAGGGAACTGCCTCGTTGGGAGACAACCGTTTGAAGACCCTGAAGCATGACAAAACACCATTCTCGGTGTTCCAATGCCACGGGTCCACCTGACTGTTGCGCCTTGACGGTCCTGAATCGTGCCAGGACACCATTCCTGGGACTTCACAACCGCGAATCAACAGAACTGTTGCGCCCTCAAAATCCAGAATCCTTCCAAAACGCAATTTCTTGGCACGGTGACCGTAGGAATCCGTGAAACTCTTGCCATGTTTCAGAACGAATGTGCGCGGCGCTAAAGCAAGAGCCGCATGTTCAAAACGAGCCGCCTTCAATCCGTGAAGCTCTTGCACAAATTTGAAGCGAGTGTGCGCGGAGCTAAAGCGAGAGCCACATTTCGAAAACCGCCCGCCCTCAATCCGCGAAGCTCTTGCACATATCTAAGACGAGTGTGCGCGGCGCTGAAGCGAGAGCAACATGTTGAAAACCGCCCACCCTCAATCCGCGAAACTCTTGCAAATTTTGAAAAGGAATGTGCGCGGCGCTACGGCCAGAGCCACATTTGAAAACCACCCGCCCTCTACTTGTGAAACTGTTGCCCATTTTTTAACTTGGGTCAAAAATAGTGAGGAAGTCTCAGGCGAAACGCCCGGCCCGCCTTTTCGACCAGCCTCGGGGTGCGACAGGGAAGAACTAGTTATAAAGAAATGGAATGGCGGAGGAGGAAGAGGAGGAGGAGGAGGAGGATGGGGGATAATGCCCCCTCCGCTCCTGTCCCTAAACGCCTCCCTAAACACCTCCGCCAAGCTAAGCACAAAGACTTCCTGTTTGCGGCCCTCTCCCCCCGTCACTGCCCGCCCTGGTGCACTGAGGCTATCCGAGATTGCACCCGGCACTCCCTGCCCGCCTGCATTGGCGTCGCCGTGCTCGACCCTCCCGGGCAGCGCTCTGGCGCCTTCTTTGCCAATCCCCCCGACCCTCAGGACGCGCTTGCTGTCCTCTACGCCCTCTGGATGTACCGCGAGATGGACACGGCCCTCTGCCACAGGCGGTCTCTTCGAGGCGATCGCTGGCATCTGTGCGCCTTGGGGCAACCTGTGGCACTCCGTCCGCGACTCCATCTTCGCGCTGGCAAGGTGCCCGACATGATGGCGAACTTCGAAGCCTTCTCCGAGGGGTACGAGAGCCCGTCATCTGCTCTGACGAAGAGGGGGCTTCCAAGTCCGCTCAAGAGGCCCAAAACTGCACCCTCCTGGATTGGCTCGCCTCCTAACCCCGTGAGATGGCCACCAAGGTCTTCGAGCGCTTCGGGGCAGGCAAGGCAGGCGTGCACCCCCCACCGCTGCCTTACCCCGCGACTGGGTGCACGTTGTGCCACTGGCTCGGGGCCATTGGCGTCACCCCTTCCCAGGCGCTCCTCCCGAGGAACCCCTGGCCGACGCTCAGGGGCGGATTGTGGCTGTCGACCCATGCCCCGTCGTGCATGCCGGGGCCGTCCGCGTGCCAGAACATCTCCCCCGTGCGCATCTCGATGCCCAGTTCTCCCTTGTACCTGACTCTCACTAATATCTGGCACCCCTGGCGTGAGGCGGTTGCATGACCACGCCGGTGTGTTACCGCCGACTCCGGGCCGGAGTCACAACTGCGAATCCTTAGTCATCCTCCTCTTCCTCCTCCTCCTCCTCCTCCTCCTCCTCCTCCTCCTCCTCCTCCCCCTCACTACTCACTCCTACCTCCTACCTCCTCCCTCCTGCCTCCTCCTCCTCTTTTCTGCGCGGCGCTAAGGCGAGGGCCACACTTTGGAAAGCTACCCGCCGTCCATATGTGAAACGGATGTCGATTTCAAAACTGCAGGCTCATGAATGATAAAGACGTCTCAGGCGAAACGCCCGGCCCGCCCTTCGCGTGGACTCGGGGTGCGACAGGGAGGAGCTATTCATAAGGAGCATAATGGAAGAGGAGGAGGAGGAGGAGGAGAAGGAGGAGGAGGAGGAGAAGGGGGAGGATTGCAGTGTAATGCTAATGCCCTTGGGGGTAGGCATAACCCTGTGAGGGTGCTCGTGAAGGTTGGGATGACAAACCTTCTGGTCCCAAAACTGTGCAGGGACTGTTGTTGGCACCTGGTGTTGGTGGATGGTATGCGTGGTCGGCATACCCCACGACAGCCACCTCTGTTCGACACATTAAGTCTGGCGAGGCTGGCATCCCAAGACGATGGGCTGATTGACGGACCTTTGATCAGAGGATGGGCTGGCATCCACCAGAAGAGCTTCAGACGCTGGCCCTAACCTAGTAGGGCTGCCCGTGGCAGCTCACCGAGGGCCACAAGGCAGGACGGCTTGCTACCCTAGTTCGGACATGTGCGCCTGCTACACCGCAAAGGGGATCGCCATCCTGGCGGTGACGAGGGGGGACCCGCCCCGCATCGGAGCAGCATGGAGACCCGCTCTGCAGCAGGCCGGGACGCCACCTTAGGGGTGACAAAGGGGGACCTGAGCCATCGCAGATCGGATCGCCACCCCAAGGGTGACACGGGTAGGCAGCTCTCAGGCAGGCCGGGCCGTCCCCCCAAAGGGAGGACGGGGCGAACCTCCTCCAACGCCGCCGATGTCTCCGCTGTGGGGTGGAAGAGGGAGGATGAGGAAGAGGAGGAGGAGGAGGAGGAGGAGGAGGAGGAGGAGGAGGAGGAGGAGGAGGAGGACCAGCCGCCCAACGACGACGCCACCCAACGACGACAACGCCCTGCGACACCCGACGACGACACCCGAAGACGACGTCCGCCACCTCCGGAGATCTCTGGAGGCTCCAGGAAACCCGCAAGCGGTCCAGGTAAGCTCAAAATCATCGAACCTCGATCCTCGAACGTCGGCGGTGGCGACGACGACGACGACGACGACGGCGGCGGGAGGAGGAGGAGGAGGAGGTGGAGGAGGAGGAGGAGGAGGGATGGAGCGAGGGAGGTCGGAGGAGGAGGGAGGGAGGGAGGGAGGGAGGGGGAAGGAGAAGGAGGATGAGGAGGGAAAGAAGGAGGAGGAGGAGGAAGGAGAAATGAGGAAGGAAGCAGGGGGCATGAAGGAGGGAGGAAGCACGAATGGCGGGGGGAGGAAGATCAGAGGAGGTGGAGGAGGATCGTTGTCGTCGCCGTCGTCGTCGGGGGGGAGTAGGAGGAGAATGAGGAGGAGTACCAATGTAAACCCAAGACGTGTCAACGATGTTGCAATAAGCCCCTCCTCCAAGTTCCCTCTCCATATGCTCATATGCGGATATATCTTTACTGCAGGAAGAACCCGTTTGGAAGACAACCGTCTGACAATCTACAACCGCACCAAGTCACCATTCCTGGGACTTCAACGCCGCGAATCAACAGTACTGTTCCGACATGACGATACGCAATCGGGCCAGAACACCGTTCCTGGTGCGATAGCACCGCGAGTCAGTGACTGCCGCACCCGGACAATCCGAAATTGTTACGAAGCTGCTCTTCCACATCTTGAAAACGGCCCGCCCTCCATCCGTGAAGCCGTTGCAATCATAATCATACATGGTGAAGAAATATTGCGCGAAACGCCCCGCCCGCCCTACTGCCCAGTCTCGGGGTGCGACAGGGATGAATTATGGAAGGCGCGCCGCTGGATCTCCCCAGGGGGGGGGGGGGGGGGGGGTGGTAACCCCTCCCCCACCCCCTTTCCCCGATCCGTCGTCGGGGAACCCCCCCCCTCCCTTACTATCCGGGTCCGTCGTCGGGGACCCCCCCCCCTCTCCCTTCCTTTCCCGGTCCGTCGTCGGGGAATCCCCCCCCCCCTCCCCTCCTTTCAAAAAAGGAGGGGGGGGTCCAGACCCCCCCCCCTCCACCCTTTTGCCGCCAAATTCGAACCTTCCCCCCCCCCCCTTCGCCACGGCGCCCCCTGGCTGCGGAACCTGACCCCTACCACCCCTAACACTACCACCCCGACCACCCGTAACCCGAACCCCAAACCGTAACCCTAGCCCCAAACAGTACCCAGTACTCATAATTCACTACTCGCTATTCACTACTCACTTCTCACTACTCACTGCTCACTACTCCCGAGTCACTACTCATTACCCACTACTCATTACCCCCACTACCCACTACTCACTACTCACTACTCACTACTCCCAACTCACTACTCACTACTCACTATTCACTACCCGCTACTCAATACTCACTACTCACTACCCACTACTCACTACCCATTAATTACTACTCTCTACCCACTAACCACTACCCATTACTCACTAACGAGTACTCACAATTCACTACTCACTACTCTCCGCCCGCAGCTCACTACTCACTATCCGCTGCTCGCTACTCGCTACTCCCTACTCCTCATACAGAGCTCACTGCTGACTGCTCACTATTCGCTACTCCCTACTCGCTACTCGCTACCCGATACGCAATATTCACTACCCACTACGCACGACTCACCACTCATTACTCACTACTCCCTACTCCCTACTCCGTACCCCCTAGTCACTAGTCCCAAGTCACTACTCACTATTCAGTACTCACTACTCACGACTCACTAATCTCTACTGGCTAATCCCTACACACTACCCGCTACTCACTACCCACCTCTCACTTTTCACTACTCACTACTCAAGACTCCCTACTCTCTACGCCCTACTCACTACTCACTACTCGCTACTCCCTACTTGCTACTCACTACTCCCGACTCACTATTGTCTCCTCCCTCCTCACTTCTCACTACTCACAATGCCCTACTCGCTACTCACTACTCACTACTCCCTACTCCCTATTCGCTACTCACTTCTCACTACCCACTCGCCACTACCCACTACTCACTACTCACTGCCCATAACTCACTACTCACTAGTCACTACTCACTCCTCACTACTCGCTACGATCTACTCACTACTCACTATTCACTACTCACGACTCACCACTCCCTACTCACTATCCCGAGGCCAGACCCTCCCCCCCCTTGCGGGAGAGGCCCCCTCCCCGGCCCCCTGTTCGGCGCAAGGGCGGGGAGGGGGGGGGGGGGGTCGAACCCCCCCCACCCCTTCCAGCGCCAACGGGGGAGGGGGGGGAGGGGGGGGGTTCGGACCCCCCCCTAAAGGGGGGGGGTCGAAAATCTCCCCACCCGTTTGAAGGAGGGGATGGGGGGGGGTTCTGCGAGCACCCCCCCCTTTTCACTTACAGGGTGATCCACTGGCGCGCTTTCTAAATTCTGCATAAAGAAACAATTTGAAGAGGAGGAAAGGGAGGGGGGCGGGGGGAAGAAGGATAATAATGGAAGAAGGAGGAGGAGGAGGAGGAGGAGGAGGAGGAGAAGAGGAGGAGGAGGAGGAGGAAGAGGAGGAGGAGGAGCAGGAAGAGGAGGAGGAGGAGCAGGAAGAGGAGGAGGAGGAGGATGGAAGGGGGAAGAGGACGAAGAGGGGGAAGAGGAAAGAGAGGGAAGAGGAGGATGGGTAGAGGAGGCGGACGAGGACAACTGCAAACGCAAAATTAATCACCAATTAAAACCTTCCAAGTTCCACCTCATAGGTCCCTACAAACATTCGTTTGCACTGAAGGAAAGAAGGAGCGCGTTTCACTGGAGACTGCCTTGGGAACATTCGGCGGCGCATTTGAGCCGGGCCACCCCCACCCCACCCCAACATTCGGTCCCGTCGACCACAACCACGTGGACTCCCCTCCCTCTTCTCCCTCCCCTTCCCGAACCCCCCGCCCCGCACCCCCGTCCGGGGGGGGCAGGAGAGGTTCGAAGCCCTTCCCTCGCCGCCGGGGGCCGGCTGGCAGCGCCGACGCCCGCGCCCACGCCCACACCCACGACCACGCCCACGCCCGCGCCCACGCCCACGCCCACGCCCACGGCAACGCTCACACGCACGCCCACGCCCACACCCACGTCCACGCCCGCACCCACGCCCATGCCCACGCCTACACCCACGCCCACGCCCACGCCCACGCCCACTCCCACACCCGCGCCCGCGCCTACGCCCACGCCCACGCCCACGTCCACGCCCACGCCCATGCCCCGCCCGCGCCCACGCCCACGCCCACCCCACGCCCGCGCCCACGCCCACGCCCACGCCAACGCTCACACGCACGCCTACGCCCACACCCGCGCCCACGCCCACGCCCGCGCCCGGGCCCAGGCCCAGGCCCAGGCCCAGGCCCAGGCTCACGCCCGCGCCTACGCACATGCCCACGCCCACGCCCACGCCCACGCTTGCGCCCACGCCCACGCCCACGCCCGCACCCACGCCCGCGTCCATGCCCAGGCCCGCGCCCACGCCCACGCCCACGCCCAAGCCCACACCCACGCCCACACCCACGCCCACACCCACGCCCACACCGAACCCCACGCCGGCGCCCAGGCCCAGGCCTGCACCCGCGCCTACGCCCACGCCCACGTTCACGCCCAGGCCCAGGCCCAGGCCCAGGCCCAGGCCCACGCCCTCGCCCGCGCCCATGCCCACGCCCACGCCCACTCCCGCGCCCACGCCCAAGCTCAGGCCCAGGCCCACGCCGGCGCAGGCCCGGGAGAGGGGGGGGCGGTCGAACCCCCTACCCGCCTGAAGCCGGGGGGGGGCGGCGGTTCCGGCCCCCCCCACCCCTCCAAGCGCCCACAGAGCGCGCTTTTTCCAAAGGAAAGAACCTGTTGGAGGACAAGTCGTTGCCCTCGCTCCCTCCGCGTGTCTTCTACGCGAGCCTGCGCGCACGTTTATGCGCGTTTCCGCGCGTTTGGCTCGAGTACAGCTTGTGAGGGTTAGGCGCAGCTTGCGCCTCAGCGGTGACATGTGAGCGCGCCTCCCTCTCAGCGCGCGCGTCTCATCACCCATCCTTACACTCACCGATCGGAACTCTGGAGCAATGTCGCATGACTTCGTGAGGGGACCATCCGTCAACAAGGGACCCTAGTGAAGGGAACCCACGAGTTAGGAGACCCGAGTAAGGGCCATGCTTGCACGTTTGGATATGATGATTTTCTGGCAAACAACTGGACAACCACTTGGAAATCCTGAGCCGTGCCATGACACCCTTCCTGGGGTTTCTCAACGCCCCGAATCAACGTTACGGTTGCGTCCTGACGATCCTGAATCGCGCCAGAACACCATCCCTGGGACTTCAACACCGCGAAACAACGTGACTGCTGCGCCCTGCCAGCCCTACATCGAGCCAGAACTGTACTTCTGGACGTCAACCACAAAAACTCTTGAACGTGTCGTACACTGTTGAAATGAATGCGTGCGGCACTAAAGCGAGAAACACATTATGAAAATGAGCCGACCTCTATCCGTGACACTTTTACAAACGTTGAAGACGAAAGCGCGCGGCGCCAAGGCGAGAATCACCTTGTGAAAACGGCCCGCCCTCTATCCGCGAAGCTGTTGCAAACTTTTAAGACGAATGTGCGCGGCGCTAAGGAGAGAACCACATTTTGAAAATAACCCGCCCTCCATCCGTGAAGCTCTGGCAAACTTGTAAAACGAATGCGCGCGGCGCTACGGCGAGGGTCACACGTTGAGAAGGAGCCGCAATCATCCGCGAAGCTCTTGCAAACTTTGGCAACCAGTTTGCGCATCGCTAGAGCGAGAACCACATTTTGAACACGGCCCGCCCTCCCTCTGTGAAGCTCTTGCAGACTTTTAAGGCGAATGTGCGCGGCGCTGACGCGAAGAACACATTTTGAAAACAGCCCGCCCTCCATCCGTGAAGCTGCTGCAATCTTTAAGCTTCGGGATCATAAATGGTGAGGAAGTATCAAGCGAAACGTCTGGCCCGCCCTACCGACGCGTCTCCTTGGTCTCTCTATGGAGGAGGAAGACGAGGAAAAGGAAAGGCGGAGGCGACGACAATGACGACGACGATCACGATGACGACGCGCGGAGCGAAGGACGAGGAGGAGGAGGAGGAAAAACAGCAGGAGGAACAGGAGGAGGAAGAGGAGGGGGAGGGGGAGTAGCGGCCTGGAGCTCCTCGACGGCCGCCCGGAGCGCCCTGGCGTGGGCGACCTCGGCCGTGCGGTCGGCCAGGTAGGCCTCGCGGGAGGGGGGGGAACTCCTTCTTCTGCTGCTGCTGCTGCTGCTGATCTTCCTCCTCCTGTTCTCCATCCTTCTCTTCTCCCTCCTCCTCCTCCTCCCCCTCCTCCTCCTCCTCCTCCTCCCCCTCCTCCTCCTCCTCCTCCTCCTCCTCCTCCTCCTCCTCCTCCTCCTCCTGCTCCGCCTCCTCCTCCTCCTATTCCTCCTCCTCGTCCTCTCCGTCCTCCTCCTCCTCAACATGATCCTCCGTCCTCCTCCTCCTCCTCCTCCTCCTCCTCATCATCATCATCATCACAACCACCACCACCACCACCACCACCACACCATCATCATCATCATCATCATCATCATCACCATCATCAATCCTCCATCATCATCTCATCATCATCACAGCCTCAGCATCAGCATCAGCATCAACATCAGCACCATCATCATCATCATCATCAGCAGCATCAGCAATCATCATCAGTCATCACATCATCATCACCAGCAGAGCATCATCATCACATCAGGGGAGGCATCACATATCAGCATCAGAATCAGCATTCAGCGATCAGCATCAGCAGTTCATGCGTTCATGCATCAGCATCATCATCAGCATCATCAGCATCAGCATCATCATCTCATCATCAGCATCAGCATCAGAATCAGCATCATCATCATCATCATCATCATCATCATCCAATCACAACATCTCATCATCATCATCATCATCATCATCATCATATCATCATCATCATCGTCATCATCATCGTCATCCATCCATCATCAACATTGCCCTCCACCTTCTCATTCCTCCCCCTCCTCCTCCTTTACCTTCTCCCTCCTCCCTCTCCTCCTCCACCTCTTTCCTCCTCCCTCCTCCTCCTCCTCCGCCTCCTCTCCTCCCCGCTCCTCCTCTTCCTCTCCTCCGCCTTTCTCCTCCTCCAACCTCTCCTCCTCCTCCTCCTCCTCCTCCGCCTCCTCCTCCACTTCTTCTCCGCCTTCCTCTCCTCCTTCTCCTCCCCTCCTCTTTCTCCTCAACCATCCTCCTCCAAAACCTTCTCCTCCTCCCCTCATCCACTTCCCCTCCCCCGTCCCCCTCCTCCTCCTCCTCCTCCTCCTCCGCCTCCTCCTCATCAAAATCACCATCCACCCTTCTTCTCTTCGCCCGCCTTCTCCTCCTCTTTTCCCTCCTCCTCCTCCTCCTCCTCTTCCTCCTCCTCATCCTCGTCCTCCGCCTCAACATCACCCTCCAACCTTCTCCTCCTCACCCTCATCCTCCTCGTCTTTCCCTCCTCCTCCTCCTCCTCCTCCTCCTTCTCCTCCTCCTCCTCCTCCTCCGCCTCCTCCTTCTCCTCTTCCTCCTCCTCCCCCCCCTCCCCCTACCCCTCCCACTCCCCCTCCTCCCTCTCCTCGTCTCGCGCGTCGCCGCCGAGCGCTCAGCGCCAGAGAAGACGCGCGCCCTCTTCGAGGCCCGCCGCTGCCCCTCTCGCGCGCGGCGGCTGCGCGCCGGCGCGCTTCTCGGGCGCGCCCGGCCGCAGCGGTGACCCGCCGAGCCGGCCGCGGTGGCTTGGGCCCTGGCCTCCCGAGGCGTCGCGGGCGAGGAGCTCGGAGCGCAACGTACAGTCGGGGCGTTGAGCTAAGGAACCCTAAATAAGGAACGAGGCCCCGTTTTTCCATGAGTTAATTTTCGATTTCCTGCCGAAAACATAAGGAAAGCCTGAGGCAAGCTGCGAAGCACTTAAGGAACGCGGAGCCCCTCCCCAACGAAAAGGGTTCCTTCTTCAGGGCCCCGACTGTATGGAAGCTTTTTTGGTCGTCCCCATGGCACGTGAGCGACGAAAAGAAAGGGGTCTTGCGCGAGATGGCAGAGCAGCCTTACGCGTCGCGCACTCGATGTTTTGAATTGCCCTTGAGACGACGGACGGGCGACGGGCGCTGAGGGCCATCGCCTCCCGAATCTTGACGGGCTGTGGCCGTGGCACTCTTGCTGCAACAAGAAGCTGGGTATTCCAGAAGCGTGTCTCTGGAGCGCCTGCTGCCGACTCGCTCGAGGCTCTTCCACAACGCGCACGCACATGGCTGGATTTGAACAGCAAAACACTGCACACACATAGACAGTCGGAGGTCCGCGAGGATTTCCTCGATCGGCCGCGTCGTGTGTATCCAAAAATGCTAGATAGCAACTCACGGAAGCTGTTGGTCGTCCCCACTGCGCCCGATAGCGCGCCCAATCCCGCGCAAAGCAGACATAACGAATCGTCCTCGCATGGCACTATCGAGCGCTGTTGGTGGCTCTTGGGCGCTAGTTCAACGCTGTTCGGCGCTACCGTGCGCCGTTGGGCGCTACTTGGCGCTGTTCAGCCCTTTTGGACACTACACGCCCGTCTGCACCCAAACCGAGACGAGCGGAAACGTCGGTGACCTGCGCCCTGGAAGAACGACACACAGCAGCTGAACGGTTTCCGGCGATCTGGGGGGCGCCTGCCCCAGGGGCGGCTGGGAAGCCTGTACCCCTACGGTGGCAAAGGGGGGTGTACAGGCTTTCCAGCCGCCCCGGGAGAGGCGCCCCAGAATGCGGACACGTCGATCTCATGCATTAGAGGAAAGAGAACTATGCACATATTGGGCGCCCGAGTTATCTGGGGTAACTCGGGTCCGGGGTAACTCGGGTTCGGATTCCCGAAAAAGGAACCCGAGTTAGCCCTGACCCGAGTTACCCCTGATGATTCGGGGCTCTGGACGCCCGAGTTATCCGGGGTAAGTCGGGTCCGGGGTAAGTCGGGTTCGGATTCCCGAAAAACGAACCCGAGTTATCCCTGACCCGAGTTACCCCTGATGATTCGGGGCTCTGAACATACACCGATTCTGGCCAGGACCATCCTGAGCCCAGGATCGGTGCATACGCCCTCTCACCTCGGCCAGGAAGGCATGTGCACCGATCCTGGGTCAAGCATGGGCGTTGTCAGGATCGGTCCATGTGAGGAGGAGGAAGAGGAGGAGGAGGAGGAGGAGGAGGAGGAGGAGGAGGAGGAGGAGGAGGAGGAGGAGGAGGAGGAGGAGGGGGAGGAGGAGGGGGGAGGAGGCGGAGGAGGAGGCCCGATGCATGCCGTTCTTCGTCCGCCAAGAGGTTCGAGGACCGAGGCCCGCCGCACCGCGGGAGAGCCCTCGGCTCCCCCGCGCCGAGGACCGTCGGGGAGCAGACTTGGGCCATGGTGCGAGAAACGCCGCGCGCGGAGCCGAGAAGTGCACGGGGACCCTGACTCCGGATCCGCCCTACGTTGGGGAAATTCGTAAGTAGGGCTTGGAATTTCCGCCTTACTTTTCAAGCCCCGCTGATGCCAATTTCCGCCCTACTTTTCTGTTGCTGTTTCTGTGGATTTCCGCCCTATTTTGCAGCAATTTCCGCCCTGCTTTTTCGGCCTCTTCTAGGTGGATTTCCGACGCAATTTCAAGTTGGAAAAAAAGCCAAAGTAGGGCGGATCCGGAGTCAGGGTGCCTCTTGGGCCGTCTTGGACGCAGTGGAAGCCCAAAAGGCGAACACGCCAAAAATAGGAGTCCCCCCATCGGACATCGACGATTTTTGCTTATTTCGGGGATGGACAGACCCCCCTTTCGTAAAACGTGGTTTAGTGAAAACGACCTGAGGCCAAAACCTGGCGGGCGCAAGCCTGGAAAATGACGGCCCCGGCGCCCTCTCGAGAGCCGAAAACGGACAATTCACTAATCGACGTGTCACTATTGGGGGTTCTGTCCACCCCCGATTATTGGGGCTCTATCGTGGACGCAGTGGAAGCCCAAAATCCTAACACGCCAAAAATAGGAGTCTCCCCATCGGAAATCGACGATGTTTGCTTATTGGGGCTCTGTTGGGGTGCCCCTTGGGGCGTGCGCACACGTCCGCGCGATGCCAGGGCCCTGCTTTCCCCGCCGGGCGCCTTCGCCCGGCGTTGGGGCCCGCGGGGGGCCATCGCAGACCGCTGCGGCTCGGAAGATCTCGCAGCAAGAGGCCTCATCCTGCTCCTCCTCCTCCTCGTCCCTCCTCCTCGTCGTCCCTCCTCCTCCTCCTCCTCCTCCTCCTCCTCCTCCTCCTCCTCCGCCTCCTCCTCCTCCTCCTCCTCCTCCTCCTCCTCTCCTCGTCCCTCCTCCTCTCCTCGTCCCTCCTCTCCTCCTCCTCCTCCTCCTCTCCCCTCCTCCTCCTCCTCCCCACTCCCTTTATCCCCCTCCTCCTCTTCTTATCCTTCCTCCTTATTTTTCTCCTCTCCTCCTCCTCCTCCTCCTCCTCCTCCTCCTCCTCCTCCTCTCCCAGCTCCAGGCGGCTCGGGTCTGGGCCTCGGCGCGTATTCTCTTGCGCGATCTGGTTCGTCGCGGCGTTCGGACCTCAGGGAAGGAGGAGGAGGAGGAGGAGGGAGAGGAGAGGAGGAGTGGGGAGGAGGAGGAGGAGGAGAGGAGGAGGAGGAGGAGGAGGAGGAGGAGGAGGAGGCGGAGGAGGAGGAGGAGAGGGAGGAGGGGAGGAGGAGGAGGAGGAGGAGGAGGAGGAGGAGGAGGAGGAGGAGGAGGCGGAGGAGGCGGAGGAGGAGGCGGAGGAGGAGGAGGAGGAGGAGGAGGAGGAGGAGGACGAGGAGGAGGAGGAGGACGAGGAGGACGGGTCCAGGGGCCCCCCCCTGCCGGGGACGACCCGCAGAGGATCCTCATCCAAATTGGAGAGCCGCCGCTCCCTTCCGTGATGTCGCACTGTGCTCCAGGCCGACGCCTTTGGAGTCCGTCTCGGGGGCCTCTCTGGTCCGTCTCGAGGCCCTCTTGGGGCCCTGACTGGTCGTCTTGGGGCCATCTTGAAGAGACCCTTTCCCCGGGGACAGCTTTCCGCCTCGAGTCCATTCTGATGGCTCTGGGGCCCGATAACAGGGCCCAGAGATCCGCAATCGATGAGCAGCGCTGGGATTCGATACATACATCTCACCCCCTCTCCTCTGGCGGTGTCTCTCTCTCTCTCTCTCTCTCTCTTGCAACGTCCTCTTGCCAAGGACCAGCTTTTCATCCTGGGCCGTTTTTGACCTCCAGGCGAGCAAGCAAGCTAGCAAGCAAGCAAGCAAGCGCAGTGGCTGAGCGCCGCAGGCCGTGCAGATCAGAAGAAGCAGCGCGGGCGACTGGGCGCAGGGAGCTCGCGCCCCTCGGGGCCTGGGCCGCCTCGTGCGCCGCGATCGCGGCGGCGATCGCCTTGCGCCGCCTCCTGGCGTACTCCAGGGCCTCCGCCTTCTCCTTGAGGTCCCCGGCGGCCGCGGCCTCCTCTGCCTCGAGCCCCACCTGGGAGGGCGCTCCGCCTCCGCGGGGCCCTCTACGGGGCTTCTGGCGGCCGCTGGAGGCTCTCAGTGGCCCTTCGGGGCCCTCGCCTGCCATCTGCCGCATGCTCTCGGCGAGCTTCGGGGGGCCAGGACTCCGGGGGATCTCGGAAGCTCTCGTTGGATTGCGGGGGTCTCGCCTGCCATCCGTCACCTGCCCGCCCCATGAACCCTGAACCCCCAAAAGACGCCACACATCTCTTGGGGGCGCACCTTCCTCTGCCGCCAGCCTTCCGCCAGCGGAGCCGCCGCCTCCGTTTCACTTCCGCCGGCTTTCCGCCCCCTTCCGCTGGACGCGAGCGCCTCGATTCCGGGAAGGCGAAGACCGCTGGAGCTCGACGAGAGCGTCACATGGCGGAGACACACAGTAGGCACATCAAATAAGAGATAGGCCTGCCAGCAATTCGGAAATTCTCGATCCGCTGTAGCCAGTGAGCATCCTTCGCGACAACGCCTGTGACCGGCCTGCCCCCCAACTTGTCACGTCACGGTTCGCGCTGGGGCCGTCTTGGAACTGGCCATCCTTGAGCATTACCGGACGGCGCAGGCGCGGATCGTGACGCGGCTGGCCCACTGCACCCTCCAGTCACGCCCGCTGTCGCGAGGGGATAAACAACGTCTCCAGCCCAAGCTTCCTGTCCGCTGTGCAGCTTCCAGGCTTTGGGCGCCTGTTCTCTTCTTGGACGGCCAGGAGCCCGAAACGGGGCCCCTGGAAGCCGAGCATGCTGAAACAGCTTCCGTCGTGATTCTGTGTGCAAGCGTTAGTGCCTCCTAGATGTGGTCCGAGCAGATGGGGTCGGAGGATCGCGCCGCGTTGGCGCATCGGCGATGCATCGGCGACGTCGGCGATGCATCGGCGCCATCGGCCTGGAGAAAATCGGGGTCTGCATCGAGACGAATCGGCGATGCATGGGCGATGCGGCGCGATCCTCCAACACCATTTATTCGAACCCCTTATCAGGGAGGCCTAGAAAGCTAGAGGTCTGGCTGCGAAAGCGCCAGCGCGCGACACTTTCAGTTAATTCGCGACGCCACCGTGCCAGGCCTCTAACGCAGTGTCATCTAATCCAAACTAAGACTGTTCGTAGTTTTGAAGCTCTCGCTGGGCCCCAGGCCGAAAAAGATCAAGGATGAAAAAGAGGTCCGTGGCAAGTGGTCCAGAGCTCTGGTCCGCGTAGAAATAAAAATGACGTCGGAGGTCTGGTTACGGCGGGTTCGCGTCGTGACGACTTGAGCATTGGTTTCTGCATGTTCCGGCACCGCGCGTGGATCATTCAGCCTGGAACGATCGCGGCGCTCTGGTAGCGCAAATTGCTCAGTAGCAGCCGATTCTTGGCCACTGGCGGCGTTCAATCTTGAACGCATGCGCTTGGGTCGCGTGCGAGAGAGGCCGCTGTGACTCTTTACAAAGTTCGCGACGCCCATGTCGAAGATTCCGAAGCTCTGACCGCCGCCCTCTGCCGAGCATCTGCCGATCTTCCGCCGCCAATTTGATATATTTGATCACCCGCTGGCCTTTCCATAAGATCCGGCGTTGCGAAATTCACTCCATCTTTCGCGACTCTTTCGCACCTCGCTCCTTCATTTCTTCTTCATTGCCGTGTGTGCCCCTGTTGAGTTTCCCCTGCTCGAGCCGCACCTCTTGACCATCATTGCGGCAAAACCCTGTATGTCTCCGCACGTCCTCGTTCTCTGAGGGCATACCGCATGGCAAAGAATGGCTACCCCCCGATCACCTCACGAGCAGGAGCGCCCTGCTTTCCAGACCCTGGCCCTCGCTTCCCCTGATCCCCCACTTTGTTCTCCTCAGTTGCCGTTCCTTCCCCTTTGAAAGGGGAAGGAATGGCAACTGAGCCTCCCCCGCCACCTCCCCCGCCACCTCCTCTGCCACCTCCTCTCCCTCTAACGTTGCACCTCACTCTCAGACTGCAATCCTCGGAAATTCGCCCGTGCCTCCAAAAAGCCGCCGAGCTGCCTGCCCAAAAACCCCGTGAGACCCCGGCAGCGCCGCGTTGACAACGATCCCTCGGCCAAACGGCAGAGAGGAGGCTTCATGGACCGGCGGAGTGAGCGAAGCGATTGAATACTGGAATCATGTCCACTACCCGAGAGCTGCCCTGATGGATACATTCAGCTCTTTGGAGCCCACGCGCCCTTTTGGCCCCTTGAGCCGTGCCTGCACTCACCAGAGGCACCTTGACTGCAACCATACATACAGTTCTCCCATATGAGCTTCCCAGCTGAATCAATGAGCTGGATGTCCACATTGAGCCCAGCCGAACCACAGCCTTACTGAGCCTGACGCCACACAATTCGAGCACGCCCCAGAGGGGATTGTAGCAGGTTCGGTCTCGGGGATTCGCATCCTTAAGACGATCCCTTCCCACTGCTCACTCGCACTGGTAACTCACCCTATTCCAAAACGCAAATCCTGAGCACCAATCCGTAACACTAGCCTTTACTTAACGCTCATCCATAACAGTAGCCCTCAAAACGTACTCTGAACACCAATCCCTAATACGAATACGTAACACTAATCCACGCACACATCCTGAACACTAAACCTTAGCAAGAATCCTCACCACTGCTGCGTTGCCCTGGGATCCTAGCCCGCCCTCCAAGCCTTTTTGGATCTTCTGGGGTCGCCATGGACACCCCCGCAGAGAAACTCTGGGTTCCAAAACAAGTGGGGCGGCGGTGTCTGCCCCCTCAGGGGCGTTCAATTGAATAATGGAAGAAACATATTCCGGATGGCGAAATAATCGCCCCTCCCTTGGGTTCGGGGGGGGATGGGCGTGTCGTCGTCGTCGTCGTCGTCGTCGTCGTCGTCGTCGTCGTCGTC